GTCACCTCTTCACTTTATCTCTTTTAACTGTCACAATGATTCTATAAGACTAGAATTATAATCATCATTTTAGAGATGAGTAACAGAATCTGAGAGACTTGGTAACTTAATATCATATAGAAAAGAAATGTCATAACCAGGTCCTGGCATGTGCCTATTCAAATGCAAAGCTTCTGGTCTTTCTGTTAAACCACACAGAACCATTGTTCTACACATGAAGTTGGGCTAAGCCTACAATGTCTAGGAGTAATAGACTTTTGCTCAATAATATAATTAATGAATGTCCATTGACTTCTATGTGTTCAAAAATGTGGATAGCACTAGAAGAATCATTGAGTGTGAAGTTATTCCTCAATAATTGTTACTAAACGTGGAGATGTTATCCCAGCAGCTCCAGTGGAACCCTTTGAGCACTGGCATACACATTGGAGATTTCCACTGACTTGTTTTCCTGTTCTGTTTCCTATTTGTTCATGAATAGACACTTTTGGAAAACTTGTTCACACCAAGCTTCTAACAGAACTTTGGTTGGTGTACCTAGATTATTTAAACCTACTCACTGACCTGCCTACCTTGATTATCTTAACAGGAAGCCAACTTTCTTCATAGGCTGTTTGTTCTGTATTCCTGTTAAATCATTAAATATGGTAAAACTTATATTGCCCCGTGAGTTAAGTTTTCATTTACATTGTATTATGCATTGTTTTAAAAAAGATCATGGAGTTAGATCACCTGGGTTCTAATCCTGCTACTCCACTCACCACCATAAGATCTTTGGCAAGTTACTTAACTCATCTGGGTATCAGTTCCTCAAATATCATATGGCGAAAATAACAGCACACCTAATAGAGATGTTATGAAAATGAACTGAGATAATTATATGCAAAACATTGAGAACAATGATAGGCTTGTTCTCACTTCTTCCTGAAGATCCGTTATGTTCAACAGCATAGCTGAGCCTTCCATTGGAGATTTTTACTACGTATGTCTTTGCTATTCCATGAATCTCTGAAGCTTGCCAGGGATGTTTCAGCAGATTTCCCCATGACTGAATGTCACCACATAGTGTGCTGGAGTGAGACTGGCTTTCTAATCTAGGCAGTTGGAAGGAGAAAGGAAGGAAAGAAGGAATCAAAGAGTCTGGTTAGCCACCGTTCTTTCCATATAATTACCCCAAACAACAAACTCTCTGTGCAGACCCTACAGGAGAAGTTCCCTAGCCTTTTTGAAAGAAGGGCTTTATTTTCATTTCTATGAAGTCTTGAAATTATCAAGAGTAGAGGAAGCTGACTGTAAAACACCTCAGCGGAGCTGGAGAGGAAGCATCTCTTCTGGCTAAGTTTTATTTCCAAACTGAAAAACATAATTAATACTCACTGCAGCCTGAAAACTCTCATATTTTGAATTAAGTGTATTGTCTTTGGTAATGCCTGTTCTAGAGAAAGCTACATGGTGACTTTAAAAGAGGCCTGGCTCAGAGGAAGGAAATAAAGAAACTAATATTTACTGAGGAGGACTATTTCATATATATACCAACATTTCATCCTTCAATCAACTCTGCTATAGTTTTAAGAAAAATTATACTCAGAGGCTTTAGTAACTCGCAGAGGTTAGTTTTCTAGTAGTAGCAGTGCAAACATTTGAACTCAGAACTTTGCTGATCCGCAATTAATTATTAGAGGCCATTTAATTCATTTAACAAATATTTTTTGAGTTTTTCTGATGTGCCAGGAACCATGGTAAATGCTAAATAGATACAGAAGAGGAAGAAAAAGGCAAATCTCTACTCTCATGGGAATGAGAGTCCAATAGGGGAACTAATACACGCAACTGCATTCCATAAATATAAGTTATAACCTCCTGGGACAAAAACCAAAGTTTAAATGAGTGAATCAAGGATTAAGGGAAACCTTCTAATTGAATAAAAGTCACACTGGCAGATAAGACTTACGTGCAGATTCCTTTCTGAACATTCGGCTTCTCCCATTAGAGGACAAAGCCACAAAAAATCTGAGTATTCACAGAACTGGTAGCCTGATTTCCCTGTACCCTTAGTTTAAAGGGATTAACACAGTTATTTGTATATTTGCATCCATTGTCACATTATAAAATCCTGAAGAAGAGTGGAAACTATCTTATTAATATTTGAATCCTTTCTAATGCACAGTACTTTGACAATAATGAAATTCCATAAATGTCTCTTACATTAAATATGACTGAATTGATCAGAAATAAGAATTGTCTGGTATTTTAATCTCCAAAATAAAATATTTTTCCCTGTGGCAGGAACATTTGCTAGTGAGCAAATATACATGTGCTCCCTTCATATTGCCCAGCATTCTTGAAGTTCTGGACAATGAATTCTAAACAGATGTAATTGATGTCCTTTGGGGCTGAAGTATTTAAGAGCTAGTAGACAAAACTTTGGCTGCTCTATTTGCTTGCCTGGTGACTAGTGATGTTCCAGCTGGCAAAGCCTCTATCATCCTGGATCCCTGATTGCCTGTGTGGAATATAGCCTCCCCTCCACCTCCAATAATGCACATTGAAAATGATGTAGCAAGAGTAAACAATATTTTTTATGTGTTCAGCTATCAAGATTCCAGAGTTAATTTGTTATTGCAGCATATCCCAGTCCATATTGACTTATGTAGCCCTCGATTTCTATCTTCAAAGAGGTACTGTGGATGAGGCTAGTTCTGTGACTCTCAGTTGAAACTAATGTCCAGGTCAAATCATCAGGTCAGAGAAAATAAGCAATGCCCATTTATGGAAAGTTGCAAATAAGTAAAATGAAGGCAATGTTGGCTTGGAATAGACTAATGGTTTTCAAACCGTGTTTATGGAACCCCACAGGTATTATAGAAGAGTCTCAGGACGGGCGGATCACGAGGTCAGGAGATTGAGACAATCCTGGCTAACACGGTGACACCCTGTCTCTACTAAAAATATGAAAAATTAGCCAGGCATGGTAGCGGTCACCAGTAGTCCCAGCTACTCGGGAGGCTGAGGCAGAAGAATGGCGTGAACCCAGGAGGTGAAGTTTTCAGTGAGCTGAGATGGCACCACTGCATTCCAGCCTGGGCGACAGAGCGAGACTCCGTCTCCAGAAAAAAAAAAAAAGTGCCTCCGGAGACAGTGGTAAGTCTGAGTCTAAGAGACTAGACCAAGGAAAGGGTCTTGACCCCAATCCTTTGCAGAAAAGTTTCACTTTTTCCTGTATTTTGCACTGGGCATCCATGGAATATTTTGTCAAAAACTTTGCCTTTTGATAATGATGTTTTTTTAAAAGGTTGAAAATAATTGGTAAACCATTAGCATATTTACAAAGGAGAAAAACACAAAATCACAATGATTTTATTGGACAATAAAAGGGATTGAGATCAAATATAAATTATTGTCCACTTGTGCCAAATTAATTTTCATCTGCTTTTCAGAAGAGACTATTGTATTCTACTTTTTCATTCATCTTCAGCTGCTTTCAAAGGTGACTTCTTTTTCTCTCTAGTAAATACTTGTAAAGTTTGGCGGTCATCTGCCTGTTAGTGACTCTCTTCTCAGCTGTTGTAATTGATACCTTTCTCCAGTCTAATAAAACCAAAGCTACAAAGCTACTCTTATAGAGGTATGGCCTGAAGAGTGTCTCCAGAAAAGCAATGCTCTGCAGTATATGAAGTGGCTAGAACATCATCACCTTCCACTTAAACTGCTCTATTATTTTTTCCTTTTGGATATAGATGAGATGTATTATATGTCCTAAAAGAATTACTCATGGGCAGTGTGATCTACCAAAAAAAGCCCTGGACTTTGGTCTTTGCTTTGATATTACTCTATCTAGATTAAATATCACCATCTCTGAATTTTATTTCCCTCCTTTGAAAAAGTAAAATGAAAGGAAGAAGGAGGGAAGGTAGGTAGAAAAAAATAATGATAACCTACCCCATCTATTCCATAGTGTGACTAGGAGAATCAAATAAAGTCATAGATGATAAAAAAGTTTTAGAAAGAAGTTATATAAATATGAAATGAAGGTATTTGTATGTTTAGAATTAAAGATCCCTCATAAATAGGTTTTGGCAGGCTGCTAACATTCAGTTGCTTGAATGCAATACAAAGAATTATGTAGCTGCTTCCACAGCTGGAAACCCTGACCACCTCAAGTGCACAATGGGGCTTTCAGACGACCTTAAGAGAACAGACTAGGCTGATACACAGCCTTCTTGCTTTCACTGGGGGAAAATATAAATCAAAGGGAGGAGGGTACTTTACTCTTTAATGGTAAGTTATTTCCTCTTCAGTGCTGTTTAGGGTACCCTTAAGTAACTACTTTCACAGAGGCTGAAAAAAGTAGAGTAGGCAAACCACATAAGCTTTTTATTGCTCTCTTATCCAAGTCTCTGAAAACTAGAGGAAATAACAAAAATGGAGACAGACTACTGATTTCTTAATATTCAAAAACCAAGCTAAAATCTGCTTCTTTAAGGCTCTCTGACTATTCTTGTGATTCAAGAAGACCAGAGAGGATTATAAGTGTGTACACAAGCACACACACATAAACATACATACATACCCCAAGCACATTTTTATCTGTTATGTCTTTCTTTTTAACTCTTACTCAGTGTATTAATGCATTAATACTCTCATCTTTGAATTATCAAATTTGCCCAATTACAATTTTTTGTAAATATTAAACATGTCTGAGTTTCTACAAGCCTGATACTCAGGCAACAGACACCCAGAGAAGCAAATCACAATGCCTGAGGGCGCATGGAAATCCCAAAATAAAGTCCGGACTCTATTTTAGGCACTTAATCTTTGTATTCTTCATAAAAGAATTCCATTGAAACATTTCAGCCCAATGACATTGGTTGTGGAGTTGTTTTTTTTTTTTTTTATCTAAAAAGTATCCTTGTTTTAAATTCTCTTCTAGAAGCCCCATGACCTCATGCAATCCCTTCAGTCATTTCTTGTTTCTTATCTAGTAGCTCTGACTCACTTACCCAGGGGAATTTTTTCCAGCAGGTAGAGATAGCTCTGAAAGAAGTCATTGCGAATGGCTTTGTGAAGGATAAAAGACATGCTATGTCGACAGAGTTCATCGTCGGTCTTCTGCCAGCGGGATCTAAAGGCAAAATGGGCACCCAGGTGGGCCATGATGAAGGGGGATAATAACGATTCCTACAGAGAAAGGAAGCTTGCCTTGTTGTTTCTTTGAATTAGCCTTCTCTTTCTAAACGAACTTGAGACTGTCATTTTAAACCAGTCCCCTGTCCATCTATATCAGGACAGGCTGTCATGGGGGAGGAGGGGCAGCACACAGTGGGAGGGGAGGGCAGGCTCTTGGCACATCCCCCCTGTCTGATTGCTTGGGTGACACCACTCCAAACCAGCAGGTGCTAAGTAAGGATGAAAACTGGCTGAGAGAGATCCTGCTTCATCCAGGAAAAAGTACGCCTCTCTCCTTTAGCCACTACTTCAAACAGGCAAGAGCACAGCCTGCTAACACCCTGAATATTTGCCTTAATTTAATTTCTAAATTGGAATAGCCTAATTTCCATTTCAAAGAGTTGTGAATATTTTGCAGGAGATCTTGTTACCTGATTTGCATCACTCCTCCTAGAAAATTGAATCCTCAAATTACAAGGACCCTTCAAAGTCATCTTAGCCACCCATGCTTCTTTCATCTGTACAATTTCTCCCACAAAAGTTCATAGAAATGTGTATGTGTTTCCTATTTTGAAGGATCTTCAAGAGATGCAATTATTTGAAAGCTTGTTTTGATGTTGAATATCTTTCTCTGTCAGCAAATTCTTCCATCTAGCTTGCTGTAAACAACAGCTATTCATGTAAGCCTGTTTCTTCCTCTCTGCCTACTATGAATATGATTTTCCTCTTAAGTACATTTGTTTTCTGTCCTGGGTATCTTTCGATTGTCCCTCCAAACCCACTCTCCACTCTTCACACATTACTATGTGTTCCCTAGGAGGCTGACCTATATCAGTGAACTCCTTTGACTTCTTTCTGGCTTCTAGTTGGCTTTAGCCAATGGATAGTGCCAGGAGGAGACTGGAGGAAAGTGAGGTCAAAGTATTTATTTCCTTAGCACCTTCTCTGTGGAAATGCCATGAGCTGACCATATCCTTTAACAAAAGGTCATACATCTGACAGGGGTCTTCTCATACAAATATCCTCTCCTAGTTCTGTTTATTTCTCCTTCACCTGACTGCTTGAGGCCCAGGGGGAGTGATGCACCAGGTGACAAGCCCGATTCCTTGTAATTTTCCTATCCTTGCCCACCTATTTGTAAATAGTCCCTTTATTAAACCAGTTCAAATTCTCAATTTGTGAATTCCATCTGTTCCCTACAGGGGCCATGACTACTGTTTTCCTCCCCTTATGTTCCTAACAGGAAAATGTGTAAGATCTCAATACACTATTGGCCCTATGCCATGTGCACCCACAGACCCCCTGCCCATAAATATACCCATGCTAATATACACAAAGGCACACATTATGGTAGGCAGCTTCTAATGTGACCCCTGTCTTAGTTCAGACTGCTCTAACATACTACCACAGACTATGTGGCTTAAACAACAAACATTTATTTCTCACAGTTCTGGAAACTGTAAATTCAAAGATCAAGGTGCTGGCAGATCCCCTCTCTAGTAAGGGCCCTCTGTCTGGTTTGCAGATTGCCCTCTTCTCATTGTGTGCTCACATGGCAGAGAGTGAAATCAAGCTCTTATGTCTTTTCTCATAAGGGCACTAATCCCCTTCATAAGGACTCCACCCTTATGACCTAATTATCTCCCAAAGGCCCCCATCTCCAAATCTCAACACATTAGGGCTCAGAATCTCAACATAAAAATTGTGAAGGAACAATTTTTAGTCCACAGCAGTCCATAAGAATACCCACCTTCTTTCTGCCTGGTATTCACCTCTTCCTGTAATCCTCTTTCTTTGAGTATAGGCTGGACTTAAGGACTCACCGCTAAAGAATAAAATATGGTGAAAGTGATGAGATGTCAATTCTAAGAAGAGGCTGTTAAAAGATTTTCTTAGGTGTCTTCTTTCTCTCGCTTGCTTGTTTGCCATGCGGGAAGACTACTGCCTGTTGTGAGTGGTCATGTGGAGAGGCCCGCATGTCAAGGAGCTGAAGTCCTAGGTCAAACAACCCAGAAGACACTGAAATCCACTAACAACCCTGTGAGTGAGCTTGGAAGCAAATCCTTCCACAGTTAACGGTTTGGCTGCAACTTGATGAGAGACCCTAAGTCAGTTATGTCATACCCGGGTTACTAATCCACAGAAATGTGTTTATTATGTTAAGCAACTAAATTTGGGGATTATTTGTTACAATGCCATGAGATATAATGAATTCATACATTGTCCATGATTTTTTTTTTTTTTTTTTTTTTTTTTTTTGAGACAGGGTCTCGCTCTGTCACCCAGGCTGGAGTGCAGGGGTGTGATCATGGCTCACTGCAGCCTCAGGTCTCCAAGGCTCAAGCAATCCTCCCATCTCATTCTCCAGAGTAGCTAGGACAATGGGCATGCATTAGCACATCTGGATTTTTTTCTTTTATTCTTTTTTTTTTTTTTTTTTTGTAGAGACAGGGTCTTGTCATGTTGTCCAGGCTTGTCTCAAACCCCTAGCCTCAAGCAATCTTCCCGTCTCAGTCTTCCAAAGTGCTGGGATTACAGGCATGAGCCACTAAACCTGGCCAGAATTTTTTGAAGATATAGAATGTAGTCATAATCTTTTTTTAAGTCTTATTTGTGTGTCAATCTTTTACTGAGAGAGGAAGTAAGGATTCCATTTATTTGACTCTGATTATTTTCCCTCATCTTCTTGTGCTTCTGTTTTGCCATTTTCTCCCTCCCCAGGTAAAGGGACAGCCATTCAATTTTAGTGGAATTGTCTCCATCCCTGGCTTCAGTAATTGCCCAGATTGCAGTTCAAGTTATCCATTTTGCCCCTGTCACAGTTTGTGGTACACAGATGGGTACATCATCCATGCCTGAGCCAGTCAGTGCATAATGTTACCCTGGTTCCAGTTTTCCTTTGGGAGTGGGCACATTATCTAAGTCTGTTATTGTTAATGCCAGCTTGAGTTGGGTTTTCTGTACTAGCAACACGGAGTTTTGTCTAATACAAATACCATCCTAAATCATTTTTACTCAATGAATTTTCATGAAGATAGAGTAGATGACATCAAACAGACCAAAGAAACTTCTAGTGAAATTATTTCATGGTATTAAGAAGGAAGGGTCTTGCCTGGAATTAAGCAGATATGACTGAGTTAGGAATTCATTGCCACCACTTATATATGGGGTTACATCAACTAACTGATTTCTTAGTCTCTCTGAGCCTCACTTTCATCCTCTTTAATATAAAAATGATAATAGTATATGCCTTACTTGATTATTGTGAGGATGAGATGAAATAATCCATGTAAAATACCACAGTGCCTAATACACAGTACATGTTCAGTTATTATCATCAGTTAGCTATTATCATCTTAATCCTTTGGAGTAAGCTAATGTAAGTTATAGGTCCTCAAAATACATGATGTCTATCTGATTCTTCTTGTGTTATATTCAAGCACTTCTAACACATGTCCAGATTATTTGTACTTAATACATTTAAGAATTGAAAAGAAATCCAAATGAAATGTGCTGTTAGAGTTCATTCATCTGTCCTTTGGAATTTTCTGTTGCTGTAGTAAAAGACATTAAGTAAAAGAAGAAAAACATGAAGGGATTCTCTTTTGTTACTTATATTGTCAGTATGTTTAACAGAAGGTGGGTTCTTAACCCCATCTCAGTGATCTTTTGATGACCCCTCCTATGCTGAAAAGGTCAGGATGTTTGGTGCTGGGAGAGAGACTGGCAATCACTGGCTCAAGGCACTCAGCATTGCTTATTTGGCAATTGATATTAGCAAGTTTCTCAGTTTTTACAGAACTGATTTTCTTCCACTATAAAATGAATATTAATTATTTATGTTTGAATGAGGATTATTAAGTGTTCTAAGATTCTGTATTTTATACCCATAATTCTTCAGTGGGGTGAAAGACTGATCGGTTTCTACAAAATGCCTTTGTCAAATTTTGTTTATCTCTGTGGGTCACATTGGATTTTGTGACTGTTTCTCATACTGGTTTAGCTTGAACCAGTTTCTGGCTCACTGCGTTTGTTTCCTTATGCCAATAATTTTTCTCTCACAGCTGCAATGCTCTATTTGCTACCACCTCACACCATTCTTGGCTATGTTCATACTGAGTAAATGAGGTTATGATATAGATCTCAAGTCTACCAGTCATCAATTTCCAGGCGGGAAAGAAAAACAATGAATGCAGAAGAAAGAAATATGACTTCGGCAAGGGAAGGTAGAAACTCTGAATTCATCCATTTTGGTTTTCCTTCTCACAGGGGATCCCTTGGTGGGGGATGGAGGGGGTAACTAGTGTTAAAAAGTAAATTATCATGAAGAGAGAGTCAGATATAAGGAAAACAAAGAAAGAAAAAAAGCCATGTAAAAAGATACTCAGTCAGTAGTACGATGAGCTAAATGTTTGGGAACATCACTCAAATTAAAATGCCTATCAAATTAAAATATCATAATACTTTAAAGGGAAATTCAGCATAGAGGATGAAATAAGGATATTTTCAGACAAAGAGAGAATTTACCACTCATAGGTGCTAACTGGAAGCACAACTTAAAAAAAAAATCTACTTCAGGAAGAAGGAATTAATACAGGGTGTTATTAGCACAGGGATAAGTAAAAAGATTAATAAAACAGAATACACGTAGAGCCCCAAAGCAAATCTATTCATATGTGGTAAGTTGACATAAGACAGAGATAGTATTGCAGTAGAGAAAGGATATTTTCAACAATGGCGCTGGTGTTGGCATAATTGGGTCCCCACTTCACGTCATGCATAAACCTAACCCAGGCAGATTGAAGACTTAAATGTGAAAAGCAAACCTCTAAAATTCTTTGAACATGTTGTGGGAAAACATCTTTATGATAACAGAGTAAAAGAAGGATAACTTTTTTAAGATGTAAAAAGCAAAAACCATAAAGAAAAAGTATAAATAATTTGACTACTTTGAAATTAGAATGGTGAATTTTTGTTCATCAAAAGAAACCATTGAACAAATGGTAAGAAATACTTGTAGCATCAATAATTAATCAGAAATTAGTATACCAAATATATGAACAGTTTCTATGAATCAGTAAGAATAATACAA